CATCGTGCCGCGCTCCTCCAGGGAAGCTCATGTTTTGTCCGATGCAGAAACATAATCATGAGACGCTTAGAGGAGAACGTGAGCATAGACTGGGCAGTCGCCCTCGTCGTGTCTGTTTTTCCTAGTGGCCACAGCAACATGTCTGACAGTTGGCAGGTGCTTCGTAAGCAGAAAAGAATGCAAAGTGACTGGCTTGCAGGTATTGTCTTTCTTGCCATATCTCGACAAAGCAGCAGGTATTTCCAGTCATGTCTGGAGGGAGGAGGTGAAAAACCAGAATATAAGGTGAACAACAACTTACTGGGCCAACACTTACTTTCACGCATGTGATGTTGAAAGGACACAGTGGACACCAAGCATGTGACCTTTAAGGGCAATGTCATCAATCACTAGGCCTTGCTAGTGCCTAGATCAAGTCCTCTACAGGTAAATCTCTTCAACAAGACATGCAAGACAAGAGTGTAATGTGAAAAGTTTCATTAACAAACTCACTAGTGATTTGCATGCGCTCCAGACACATTTAGAAAAACAGATTGCTGCGCACACAGGCAAGCAAATATTTCATTGTGATGAGTGAGCTCGGGAAGCTTTGGCTCACACTCCACAAACTAAACACCACATGGACAGACCAACATGGACAGCGTGTATATGCTATAAAAGACTGTTTTCTACTTTGTTTTGGAGCATTGCAACTACTTTTATGTTATTCTCCTGGGTTTTTTAAAGCACCTCAAAAGATAAAAGGTCAAACTGTCACCATAAATAAAACAAAACACAGAGACTTAACCTTCAGAGATGTTTTGTAAAACACCCAACCTTTTTTAGTTTCTCTCAATGAAGTTTAACTCCAATGATGTGGAAGATTTGTTTTGATAGCTGAGAACCTCACTGGTCCCAATAGATCAAGTAATTAGGCCCCTAGACTGTATACAGAGACGGAGGACGTGTCTTCACCTCCTCCCACTATCCAGACATGAAGCCAAAATATCCCGGGTATGATTGCTGCCATCATGTGCCGGGTAGAACTAGAGTCTGCACAATAGTTATTGAAGGATGGACCAGCTGTCAATTATGATGGTTCACCCCATTTTCATTGAATTGAAAAAGTAAATAAAACAAAACATAAAGGGGAAAAAATAACACTTGAATTAACATATTTGAGATGAATACAACCACAAATGACAGAAACCATCTTCAAGAAAAATGTATTTGATGTGTGTTATGACTTTTTAATTTGGTCCATAGCCTATCTTCTAACATGGAGGATGCGAGATGAACATGAACATGAAGCGAGTGCATTCTTCAAAGCTCTGTGCTCTTTGTGTGATGTTAGAGAATATACAGCAGACCTTTGTGTGTCCTCATAGACACTGTCCTGCTTGACATTTTGGGAAATACTCTTGCTTTCAATTGTTTGATGTGTACTATTGATTGACTGAGTGAACTGAGATCAGGAATTGGTGAACAAGTTACACGTCTATCAACTAATTCCAGAAATCTGTGTCTGTCTGTGTCTCTCATATCTCGAGAAGTGTTCTTCTCATCGGCTTCACATTTGCCATGTGTATTGTTAAGTGCTCAACGAAGTGCTGTGTGGGATTTGGTGTACGTGATACGTTCAATATTAATACACTTTGAACAAACAGGCAACCCAGTGAGCCACAGCAGGGTCTCAACATCAACATAAGTGATGTTGTGGATCTCAACAACAGCGTATTCACAACAATGGCTGTGTTTACGACAACAGCAACTACAACTGATTCTCCAGATCAGGGTTCAGCAAGCTTCACCAAATTTTGAACATGGCTCAATTTCTGCAGGTTACTTTTACAGTTGACAAAGGAAAGCTGAGAGCAGCATCACCACAGGTAACAAAAACCAGCCCATTCCAAACAGACAGGTTTAGAAAGGGCACTGCCCTAGTCTTTCTATTTTGAGCGCCAAAACAATGAGCCATTATTTTCAAGTTGGCTTCCATTGATATCTCTGCCAAAGAGGTTATGTTTTCATTGTTAGTTGTCAGAGTTTTTTGTTTCTTTTTGTGAATTACTCAAGAAATAGTGAAGAAATCTTGATGAAAATACTTAGAGGACTGATATCTATGATTGTTTGCAATTTGGTGTGACTTGATTGAATTTAAAGGGGTTGCTTAGCCTTGATGGAGATCAGTGCCCCTGTACTGTTCTAGTTACGACCAGATGTTGAATGTCCCTTGTGTGTTTGACGGTCTCGCACTAGTTAAGTTGCCAACCATCAGTAGATGTTAACAGATGTTAGCACCCACCTGCAGCCGTTAAGGACATATCTTCAGTTGTGTACATTGGTGTCAACAGGTTTTTCAATCTTCTAATCATGAGACACCCTCTGCTAAGGCACGCCCACCACAGGATGATCAGACTTGAGTATATGTCCCTATCATCAAGGGGCCAAAGTATTTACTTGAACATTTGAGGGGACACTTAAAATCTGCCAAGGCGGGCTGACCCTTAAAAATCAGAAACAAAGATGTGGGTAGATGCCTTTAAACTCAGCGCCAACTCATGTCTAACTCAGCCCACACACACACAGACAGTTTTCATGTGGGGGCAGAGGATCCATCTCCTCTTGCAGTGCTCATTTAAACCTCTGGCTGTGTGGCAGACAATGATTCAAACACGTCAAAGTGACAATTTAAAAGAAAAAAAACCCTTAAGAAATATACTCGGAGCCTTTAAAACGTCTGACACTGACCACACTGAATCAGTGTTGTAGCTTTGCTTTAATAATGCGGGTAAAGGTTATGAGCTGCTACAAAGGTGAGTCAACCATTCTTCTGTCTCCTCTTCCCACCGTGATCAAACGCAGCCATGTCCCCCACAGGCCTGGGTATCAGACTATTTTTAAGAGGTGTGGGTGTTCGTACTGTGGCATCGCTCACTGGTCCTGCCTCTGTGCTCTTATGTGCATTGATTCAGAGCTGTTACGCAAGTCTCTGCCCCCCATCCTCTTACCGATTAGAGACACTCAAACACCTCCACCTCCCTGCCCACACACACTTCCAGCGCACATGGGCTCACCAACTGCCTTTGCTTTAACTATTCATGCTCCTGTTTAGTGGAGTAACCCAGGACAGGCTCTTCCACACACTGCCACCAGCTCTCTCTTCCTCCTGTTCACCACTAAAAGATCTCAAATGATCCAACTCACCCCATGCCTGCAGGCCTGCTCATTCAGAGCTTTGACCCAGGTTCTCTGCCAGTGCTCCCTGAAGGACTTGAAGGAGAACAGGGAGGTCAACAAGCCTTTCACCCCGGCCTCAGCTGCGGCCCCTCCATACTGGCCCGGGCGGAGCTTCCTCAGGAAGCCCCACACACCGCCGCCGAGGCTGTGGCGGGGCAGCGTGAAGCAGAGCGGCTGCCGGGCCGGTGCTCCCCTGTCCGTCCCGGCGGTCTTCCTGGCTCTCCAAAGCCGCAGTGCGGTCTGCAAGTACTGGAGCAGCCATGTCAGCACGATGAGCAAGGAGGCCAGAAAGAGAGCCACCAGACACAGCCAGGCCAACTCCTGCAGCTCCATCACCGCCTCCCTCTCATGTCAGCAGGTCCGGGTGGAAATATCAGGAGGTGTCAGTCGGAGCAGCTCAGCTCCCTTCAGCCTGTGAGAGGCAGTAAACACAGTCAGTCCTCCTCATCCAAACGGTACAGACATGTTATAACTGAGGAATAACACTGAATACACATGCACGTCAGCTCCTTGACTTTCATTTGTTTGTTATGGCTCACATTAAACACGGATCGTGCGCGTGTGAACCAGAAGCCCACGCACTGAAAGCTGCGTAAACGTCGCGCACACATCTCTGATATTATGGAACATGCGTTAGTAGAGAGGATGATGCGCAGCAGGTTAATGGATGAAACTCAGATAATCAAGCAGGAAACCAACCGTGTCACTTACACGCTCCAGGCTGCGGGCTGCTGGGGATCGAACGCACGGCATCGTCAACGTAAAGCTGGATTCATGGCGATGTGCAGCGGTGCCAACAACAAACACGCTCGTCCCATGTTCAGTGTTCTCAGCGCTGTTTGTTCTGATGTGACTCCGGTGTCACCTTTCGATACTGAAACGACCTCTCTGCTCTCTGAGGCTGCAGAGGCACCGCTACGTCCGCTGTTCGAACCCTCCTGCCCGCTGCTCTGTCTGCACAGCGACCATCTGACAGCCAACAGCCGTGGCCTGCAGGGGGCGCTGCAGCGGACAAAGCGCTACAGCTACAAGGAAGTGACATTCTCAGCCTTCAAAATAAAAGCACACCACCTTAGACGTAAAAATAACCAACAATGTATTCATTAGTTTAAGTTTTAAGTCTGATATTAATATTATCTGCACTTTTTGCAAGGCTCAATCTGAAACGTTGATGAAAAATTATACGTTTATTGATTATTATGTTACATGAAATAATATACATAAATACAGTTTTCCATATAAAATGACACAATTCTGTAAGAAGACAAGAGAAATAGTACACATATTTGAAACCTGCAAACTGTGTATTATATATGAATTTACATAATGTGTGTTGTGAATATTTAAAATGTTCTTCAACTTATCCATACATGTTTTATTCAATATATATTTTTTAGTGTTATTTCGTGATTTTGGCTCAATTTCAAAATCAACTGGACCCATCAAACAGTTCCAAAAACCTTGACACGGTGTTGATATTTTACTCATATGATGCATAATATTTAAAAAAATTGTGTTGATCAAATTTTGACACAATAATCTATTATTGTTATTATTATATAATTGTATTTTGTTTTATTTAATAACATCATCAACTTGTTTTGTCCTACTTTTGTGTATTTTTAATTTGCCCACCCTCTTCTTTATGATATAAGAAAAAAAGTAAGAATGTTTTGAGTCTTAAAACAATGTTGTGACAGTTCACTTCCGTGTCAATACAGTTTTGACACTGACGGAAGTAAAAAGTAAATGATTGTTCACAGGTGAGTTGAAAGAGGGCGAGAGTATGTGCACAGGAATAAATCGATTCTTATTATCTAACAAACAAAATAACTGCATGAATTTACCATCATCAAAGCTTTATCATTAACACAACACTATCGATCGAGTCATTGAAGCTCTGCCGCTGTTTTGTTTTGAAGAGCTGAACCGGAAGCGTCAGTCACGCAGTAGAAGTGAAAGAGACGTGGAGTTCAGACACTTCGAGGTGGTGTGGACACAAAACACCATGAACAGCCTGTAGTGGCACCTGCTATGGATCTCTACTGGGACCTGTGGACTGATCTTCCCCTGCCAGAGGTGTGTTTCGCTCTGAACATGGCGCTGGGACATGTTGTAGCTGTGTGAAGACTCCAGCCGATCCTCGTTCATCGATCGTCAGAAGGGGGGCAAACGTCAGATTTAGCTGGAAACCTGATCTGATCTGTCGGACACAGACGAGCCAATATGCCGGGAAACACGGCACCGGTGCCGGTCCAGCCGCTGGTCATCAACTGCCTCATGTCCGTCCTCGGCTGTTTGGCCACAATGAAACTCATCCCTGCGTTCAAAGACCACTTCATCTCAGCTAGGTTGTTCGGAATGGACATGAACAAAACATCCAAAAAGCAAGTGTGAGTCATTTTATCATCTGTCCTCTGATGTGGTTATTCTTTCACTTTGCCCTTTATCAGCTTTGCAAGTCATTGTTCTCTTTTCTGAGCAATAATTCTCGCTTTTGTTTGTCTTCCTGGTCACGTGTCTTTGCAGCCCAGAGTCTCAAGGAGTCATCAGTGGGACAGTTTTCCTCATCATCCTCTTCTGCTTCATCCCAGTGCCTTTCCTCAGCTGCTTTGTGGGAGACCAGTGCATGGGCTTCCCTCATGATGAGGTGGGTGGGCTGATGTTTTTCTCACATGTTGAATGGAGTCGCCCCGGCAGCCCTGACCTCTTGTGTTGTGTGCTGGTCAGTTTGTGCAGCTGATTGGTGCACTGCTGGCCATCTGCTGCATGATCTTCCTGGGCTTCGCCGACGACGTGCTGAACCTGCGCTGGAGACACAAGCTCCTGCTCCCCACCATGGCCTCGCTGCCGCTGCTCATGGTCTATTTCACCAACTTTGGCAACACGGTCATCGTGGTGCCCAAGCCCTTCAGATCCCTGCTTGGCCTGCACTTGGATCTGGGTGAGTTGTGCGGTTACCACGTGTCTTTTTACCCCTTTGATCAAATAGTCCAACTCCTCCTGGAGGATCTGAAGACGCTCCCATTATTCTGACCGATGTATCGTCTGGCTGATACTATCGGTCGATGTGAGCCTTTCACAGACATATCAGCATTTATGCACTGATGTTTCCATGATGCATAAAAATGTATCGTCGGACTTTAGTTTTCCAGGCCAGATGGGATTATATAATCTGTCCTGCACGTTCTCTGTCTCGCGTCTCTTTTGAAATATGAATCTTGAAAGAAAAGAGAAACCTGCTTGTCTCTTGGTCTTTTCTTTCTTTATTTTTTTTTTTTTTACATAGAACCTATAACTGCTTTACTGTCCATTATGCTGAATAACACACAAAGTTTGAGGTAACGCATTATATCTGTTATCTACAATACTAAGTTGTGACAAACAATGTGAATTGTGATCCCTGCAGGTATTCTCTACTATGTCTACATGGGGATGCTCGCAGTATTCTGCACAAATGCCATCAACATCCTGGCAGGGATCAACGGCATCGAGTCAGGCCAAGCCCTGTTCATCTCCGGCTCCATCATCGTCTTCAACCTGCTGGAGCTCAATGGTGTGTGTGTGGCTGTTTACTCTCTTCATCATCATAACAGATCTCAATCTATTCACTGCAAATCATGTGTTATGGCTTAATGGAAAATCTCTTAGAGTTTGTCACCTGTTTAGGAATGAATATGCTATAATACTTATTGTTTAAAACATGTGGATGTTTTTGCTGTGTAGCTCACCTGTTGCACCGATGTCATCGTAACATAAGTTACTTCGTCCAACTTTTGGTTTGTGTTCTGGTTTTGTCGTCATTCAGGAGATTACCGTGATGACCACGTTTTCTCCCTCTACTTCATGATACCATTCTTCTTCACCACACTAGCACTTTTTTACCACAACTGGTAAGTTAACCCCCCCACCCACTCCACCTCATACTGCAGTTATCTGATTTATATTTGAAAGTGCTGTGGGAAACATAGGTATCCTTTATTGTAGAATTGTTCTAACTTGTAACCTATGTTGCCACAGGTACCCCTCATCTGTGTTTGTGGGAGACACTTTCTGCTACTTTGCCGGGATGACTTTTGCTGTAGTTGGCATATTGGGACACTTCAGCAAAACAATGTTGCTGTTCTTCATTCCTCAAGTGGTAAACTTTGTCTACTCCCTGCCTCAGCTTTTCCACATCATCCCCTGTCCCAGACACCGGCTCCCGAGGTAACACACCGCTCAAGGTGTTTTTCTCTTTCATTTATTATGATTTTGTTTTCCAGTTGTTTGAATTTTTACCTTTTATTTGTCTTTCTCCCTGTTCCTGCTAATAAAAGACTGAATCCAGACACAGGCAAGCTGGGGATGAGCTACTCTAAATTCAAAAGAAAGGACCTTTCTAGTTTAGGTCACCTCATATTAAAGGTAAAGCTCTTGTTTTTTGTGCAATCTTATATACTTTTGTAGTTTGTTCTCTATTTTGTCTGTCAAATAATCATTAAATTAACTAATAGTTCCTCAAAACACGAAAAAATATTTCTGATTGACTAATTAGTGCCACACACCACTCTCTGATTAAATGTGAATTCCCTTATTTATTAACCTGATAATTAGACAGAAAATCAATTTTTTTTCACTTCACAATTTTTATGATTGATTTACTAAAAATGGAGATGTTGAAAGCCAATGAGCTCTGAAACCAGGTTAAATATTTATACAGTGCATGTAGTAAGGATTGGCGGAGGTGGATAACATGCATGATGCAGATCAGTGTCAGGCTTCCAACTGGGTTTATTAGATAATAACAGTAATATGTTTGATCCTCAACAGGTGGCAGAGTTATTGAAGCTGCTCGAGGTGCAAAGAGCTCAGGAGGGAGACGACGACTTTATTGAGTGCAACAACATGACTTTAATAAATCTGGTTCTGAAATTACTCGGCCCCATCCATGAGAGAAATCTCACAGTCATCATGCTCACCATCCAGGTATAACAGAGCCACTGTGTCCAAATACACTGGAAGTATATGAATGCTTCCCTTGGTGCTCATCACTATCTCATTTCTCCTTCAGGTGATTGGCAGCGTAGTGGCTTTTGGGATCCGTTATCATCTGGTGCGTCTCTTCTATGATGTCTAGACGGCTCTGCTGGAAACACGAGCAAATTCTGTCTGAGAAAATAGTTTTTGAACTATTTTACAGGCTTATCTGCCTTTTTTTTATAGGTTCACTTGTACCTTGCTTTTACTCTGCCTCAGATCGACCTGCAGTAGTGACTCCAGGTGCAAGGTTCAGAGCTGTATTTCACTTTGCCAGGACATTTTCACATAAAAGCATAAACAGCATCAACCAACAGCTCTACTGTTCGTCATCCTCCTTTGAGTTTCACTGATTACAAGCATGAAAATGTGTCTGGAATCTGAATTGTCTTTAATGCGCTCCCTGAAAGTATATTTTTTGTACTGGGTTTTTTAGAGGACAGAACAGTCAATGTGGAAGAGTTTTGGAACTCAGGGCAGACTATGGAGCCATAATTGCTCTTTGAAGATTTAAATAAGAACTAAACATGGTGGTCCATTGCTTGAATGTGCTGTTGAAGAAAACATGGCATCAGGAAAATGTACAGATTCGCACTTCATTTTGCATGACGATCAATCCATGCAACAAAGTTAGTGGGAAAGTTGGAAATATTTTTGATTGTTTGAGTTTTTACCTCCGAACAAATGCACACAGAATGGTGATTGTGAAGAAACGTAGTGAGAAGATAAGACTGTAGGAGTCTGATGCGGGTGGAGGTGGGTAAACAAAATGGAACAGTAGAACAGATAAATGAGATTATTATTGCTTGTTTGTTGTAAATGACAAAATAATGGAAGGTGAAGGATGTCAGTACTACAATAGTTAGAATTGATTGATTTCAACCTTTTTTTTTAAATTTTATTTGGTACATCACTGTATTTTTATGACTGATATGCATTCGATCCCCCAAAGGCTCAACAAACACCAATGTGAAGTCAACTGGCACTGGACTGTTTTGTTTAGGGATGTAACTCAATGTGAGAATCTGTTTACTGTCGAGACGCAAGGCTCAAATTCAGAAATAAAACAAAAGAAATGAAATTCAAGATTGTGCCAGCATTTTTGGAATAAGTTCCCATGTCATTTTACAAGTTGTACTACTTCATTACAAAAATACTATACAAGTTATATTTTGTTATTTTTTTGTTATACTGATAACTGACCTACTGGTCGAAAATAAAGCTAAGTAAATTAATTAAAATGATCACTTGAAAAAATCCTACATTGCCAATTTTAACTTTTCACACATTTGATATAGGTTTTATAGCAGCCAAATAAGTAACTGCAGTGCATACATGCTAAAGGTATGTTTAAGATACTCACAGTAGTGTGACAGGCATTAGCTGTTGTTAACTAAATGTTTAAATTGACAAAAATAATTGATATCACTCAAGAATAGCATCAGAGGGCCATACAAAGTGTTGGTGTTTTTTTTCTGTAATACTGCAACAGATCATATTTTGTGTGTTGAAGCCAAATTAGAAAAATAAATGCGATCAAAATAATGACTTATTAACTAAACATAAGTACTTTTTATATTTAAAATAATGTCATAAAATCTCATAATTGTGACTGTCACTATCTCTTAAAGGTTCATTGTGTGAGATTTAGGTGAAAGGGATCTATTGGCGGAAATTGAATATAAATAATCTTAATGATGTTTTCACTAGTGTGTTTCATCTAAATTGTAGGAATTATTGTTTGTTTTTTTACCCAAGAATTGCCCCTTTATATTTAAATACTTATAGATATTTATATATATATTTTTATCATGAGCAGGCCCTCTTTATGGAGACTGCCACGTTTTTCACAGTAACCCAAACTGGACAATCTAAACACCTTTTGAGTTTTTATGACAACTGAAGATACCACAGGTTCTCTTTCGTGTTTGGAAGCGGAGGGTGAGGTGAGGGGTATCCAGCTGCAACATGCACCTTCACCACTAGATTTCCCTAAATTCTAAACACTGAACCTTTAATTTATCATATCTCATAATAATGATTTTAAATTGTGATTTAGATTTCGTTGTCTTTCCTTTCACTGGCAGGAATGGGCTTCCACACATACTCATCTGTAAGTACAAAAATTAAATAAATAAACTAAAAAGTACATACGTGAATTACAACAGATGAAAGTGCAGTACTAGATGTACTCAGTTACTATCCTGTTCTAACTGGTTCAAATGATTATGGAAACATCTAAAGGGGATTTTGAGGCGGAACCATTGAACGTAAACATAAGCGCCCCGGGAACTATTAAACACTTGAGCGTTGTTTCTGGGGGGGCTTGTATATGCGCTGCACACAGACCGCGTAGTGATAACAAACTGCTGTTGACAAGATGTCAGAGCTTTCTGCAGATTATCGTGTTGAGGCTGATATCCAAGGTAGAATTTAACTTCCTATGTGTTGTCGTTTGTCGCACAGCTCCAGGATAGAGCCTGTTAGCTTGTGTTAGCTTGTGTTACAGCTGCTCAGTGTTTTTAAACCTGCTGTTAGCTAAACACAGCCAGGGCTCCGCAGGTGATGCTCACACCGCGGAAACAACGTCTGTAGCCTCGGTCTGACTCAACGGAGAGATGCCTCCCAACACACGGATCCAGAAGAAAGCGCTGAAATTTGACTGTGAGTGGGGTCCGTGTCACGAGTCGTTCAGTCGGATGGAAAACTTCTGCAAACATGCAGAGGGTCACCTTAGTGCTGGGAACATGGCGGAGGAGGATGAGGAGGAAGCAGAAGGTGAGGAGGCGAGTAAAACGTAATTGAGGAAGGTAGTCTGGAGGTAGTGGGGGACTGACATGAAAAGACTGACGTTCAAGTGTTAATAAAATGATTCAATTGTGGCCAAACAGTGTTCTGTTCGTTACTGAACAACATCTGCCTAGAATTAGTTTCATTGAGTATCTTAGTGAATAGCTGAAGATCTCACTGGAGGCACTAAACATGTACTATATGCACAAAGACAGCAAGTCTTTTCTGGTGTTTATTAAAATCTGATTACTATGTTATACATCTATTTTGTTATGTCCCCTGAAAGTGGTTGAATCAGAATAAAGAGGATTATAATGCCTACACTTTTTATTTGATGCTGTCAGAGGTTTCTCACGTTGCCAAGTTTTCTCTCATCGTGGTAACTGTTTCTGTAAAAGTGCCTTGTATGTTGTAATTTGGGGCTCTAAAAATAAAATTGAATGTCCATCCAGTGTACTCTCTGTGCTGTTAAATGATGCCCGGGAAAAGGTGATTACTAGTCCTTATGCATGTTCTCTGCTTTTTGTGCCAAGGGGAAAGAAACTGTCTGTGGAGAGACTGTGGTTTCTGCTCACTGGAGGGTACTGAGGAGTTGCGTCGACATCTTTTCTTCCACTGTTACCACACCAAGCTGAAGCAGTTGGGTCAGCAGGTGCTCAATGCTCAGCCAGAACTCGGCAGCTGCTCCATCGGCTTCCACAACCGCAACATCATCCCTGAAATCCCAGACAATTTCGTCTGCCTCTGGGAAGAGTGCGAGGTACAGCTGACTACAGTCTACACGTGTGAAACATGCCACACCAGCAAAATGAAAACATCTCAGCAGTTGTTCCTTGTAAAATAATATTAAATGTCATGTAGTTTGGATGCAGTGACATGAAATAAATCTGAGGATTTCTTTTCAATAGCTGTGATATAGACTTTAAACTTAAACATCTGTGCCTATGCATTTATGTTTTTTTTTTTATATTTATCCAAGCAACCACCATATGAAAACCCTGAGTGGTTCTACCGACATGTGGAGATGCACAGCCTGTGCATAGATATACCAACAGGAGACTGTGAATTCCTAATACGCTGTGGATGGAAAGGTAATGTCACACGGTTCATCTAAAGATTTTATTTACACATGTTGATGTTTCTGTAAAGACTATACAGTAAATTTATGGTGAAATAGGATTAAAAGTATGAGTAACTATTCTATCTAATACTAAGCGTATGAGATTGTTGAGTACAAGTTCTGCAATTGTGTCTCCTCAGATTGTGAAGCCACTGCAAAGGGTCGTCCTAAGATGCGGGAGCATCTGCGCAGCCACACCCAGGAGAAAGTCGTGGCATGTCCAGGCTGTGGGGGGATGTACGCCAACAACACCAAGTTGTTTGACCACATCATACGACAGAGCGCCATGGAAGGTAAAAAGAATCATGATGGGATGACTCATATCAATGTTTTGCAACTTATTGAGCTTTATAACATACTTGTTTTTTGGGCTCGTTTGGGCTTTAGGTCAGAGGTTCCAGTGTTCTCACTGTTCCAAACGTTTTGCAACAGAAAGGCTGCTGAGAGACCACATGAGGACCCACGGTCAGTCATCCTCATAATCAGTTTTCTCATCTCACTCAAGGAACGAAAATGAAAGTGTTTCCCAAAATGTCATAATTAATTTTTCTTTGAGTGAGGATGTTTTCATATAGTATTAACAAATAATATTTTAGTTTAAAGTAGTTCACTTAATTCAAAGCTTGAGATGTGCAGCTCTATATCAACAAAAACCTTTAAATACCAGACTGCACTTTTTACATGCTTTAGCCAAATAATTCTAAAGCATGCTCAGTTTATTCTATGAATCATTTTCCAAAGCGTGTCTTACATTTGTATCTTGATCTCTATCCTTCACATAAAACTTTAAACAGGAAACACTGAGATTCCAAACCCCCCCCCAATGATGATACCAAAACTCGCATTTGTCTTTTTCATTGTTTGTACAGTGAGCCACTACAAATGCCCGCTCTGTGACATGACTTGTCCATCACCCTCCTCACTACGCAGCCATATCAAGTTCCGCCACAGTAACGAGAAGCCATACAGCTGTGAATACTGCGAATACAGGTTTCACATCCACTGAAGCAGCATCAGTTTGAATTGACGTACGTTTTGGACATACACCTGCACTGAAGTTTTCTTTTGTTTTGATTTTTAGCTGCAAGAATCTGATCGATTTGCGTAAACACCTGGATAGCCACAGCAGCGAGCCTGCATTTCGCTGCGATGTTCCCGCCTGTGGTTTCACTTGTCGTACCTCCACCACCATGAAGATTCATCACAAAAAAGAGCACGAGGTAAAAGGGAAAGTCCTTTCATTTTTCAATTGCACTCACTCTTTTGGGAAAATTTTATATAATAATTGTTTCTGTGTTGTGCTCTCTTCCATAATTAGGGGACTTTTATACCTCGCTACAAGTGCCATGTGTGTGGTCAGTGCTTCACCAGGGGCAACAACCTCACAGTCCATCTGCACAAAAAGCACCAATTCAAATGGCCCTCTGGACACCCCAGGTTCAGGTACGTCTTGCCATGATCCTCCTAGTAGCATTGACATTGAGACATGAGGAGCATTGAAGCACTGAGGACCTCTTTTTCTGTCAGGTACAAGGAGCACGAAGACGGCTTCATGCGGCTGCAGTTGATTCGCTACGAGAGCGTTGAACTGACCGAGCAGTTAATGAGGGAAAGACAAAACAGGCAAGGGGAGGACGATGAGGACGGTGGACACACTGAAGGGCAGGGGCTGGAAGAAGAATCTGCAGGTGCAGCTCCTGCAGAGTTGCAGGTGGAACTGAGAGGGGTGCTGCTGGAGGAGCAGAGGACTGAGCCGGCCGACGGCACCGAGGAGAGCAGTCAGGAAGAGGGCGTGTTGTTCGTTCTCACTGGAGGTTTGTCACATGAAGAGGAAGACTCTGCCATGCTGACTCTCTAGGATACTGCTCAGTAGCAAAGAATGCAGATGGTTTGACCAGGACAGTCCTGAATACATGTCCTATACATGGAAGGACATTCTGTCATCAGCTCTGCTGTTTCATAGATTGTAAATGTATGAAGCATCTTATGGACTCTCAGACCCTTTAATGAAGTTCTTAATGATGTATCTATGCTAAATTAAAATGTCTTAATGAAGGGAAACATACTCCAGGGTCTTGACCATATGCCTATATTAGGTAATAAGCCTTTTTATGTGTTTTGTTTGATAATATTGAACCTGGTCCTTTTTGTATTTCAAATTCAATAATTGTCCTGCAACATGATCAGATAGTTGGATACTATTACTGCACGGTCTAGTGGCTGGTCAATCTCCTCTAGATGAGAAATTCAGAAATGCATCCACCACACATTGATATTCACCATAATGTGTGGAATCCAGCAAAGACCAACCTCATGAGCTTGGAAATTGTATTTTTTTGACAATTGATTTATAACTTAAATAAACAAAGGGTTTGAATAAAAATCACTTTCTTGTATTAGGATTAAAGGGTTTTTTATATGTTGCACAATATTTCTCAATATTTCAAGTCATCTTGAGGAATATGCAGAGCCACTGCTTTAGTTGCATTATGGTGCCCTCTGCTGATACAATCGCTCAACTTTGGCTCTATTTTATTGCACAAGTTAACTGTTCTAGAATGAACATTCTAGATGTTCTCAATCAGTGATGTTCAAACTGAGCTCACAGTATGTGACCAGATCTAAGGCAAGGTTTTGACTTTCTAGTATTGTCTCATTTATATATATTTAGTTTTCATGCATGTGATCTGAAATGTTTTTGCTGAAATAGCAAAGTAAATTTGGACAGACAATGAAAAGCATCACTTTGTGTTCAAGCTAATCTACTGAATGATTTTTTAAAAATCTGTTTATGTTTATATTGTTGTCCTTCCACTAAGGTCATGTTATGATTACTAGGACTTTTTGGCAAATATTTAAACTACGAAATTAATGTTTCACACCACATAGTCACCTCATTGGCTTTGTTTTCTTTTATTTATCATGGCTCTGGTGATTGGGTGAATTAAATCATAACAAATCTTTGCCAAAGCCGTGTGTCCAGTCACAGCATGTTTTACAGGACATAGTGGCAGATTAGTGTAGTGGAGAAGATTAGGCAGCACACGCAGCTTAGTTTAAGTGTTACTTACAGATTTCTGCTTCCTCATTCTGCAGCTACTGACTTCCACTAACTTCATGTCTGTTGACTTTGTAAAGCTGATGATGTACAGTGTTAATTTTCATGACAGGCCTCAGATCCATCTACAGATTTTTCACAGGAATTGATTCCATCAGAAATTGGCACCATGAGGTTTCACCCTCTGCTGCTGTTTTTACTGTTTGGATGCTTCCAGGGAGGAATTTCTCAGCTGCCTGAATGGACTGAAGAGGTGGAAGGTAGTGGTAAGACCTTTAATGGTAGTATAATGTTAGTTTTCAATCAAAATGATTGTACTGTGTTGTTGTTTGTCTAACTCTAATGTATAAAGAGATCAAACTTATTTTTATTTTTAATTTTTTTTACAGTAGGAGAGACAGAATGGCTTCCCCAACCAGACTACATAGATGACTCATACTGGTCGGGGTCCGCTCCCCTTTGTGTAGGAGGCTGTAAGGCGCTGCACCAGGAGCTGAGGAGAGATCGCTGTGGAGACTCAAGCTGCTGCTGGCTCGGCTACAAGTCCCTGTGCAAAGGTAAAAACTTAGACTACAGCACTCTGTTTGAATTTAAGTCACTACCTGGTCTATCGACCTTGTTTTGCTTACTTGCTCATCTTTCCTGTGTGTGGCAGTGAACTGTGGGAAGCCAGACGTGGATTATAATGGTGTAGTGTACGGTAACGACTGGTGGGTGGGCTCTGCAGTGAGGTACACCTGTCGCTCTGGCTTCATGCTGGTGGGAAACCCTACCAGATATTGCCAGCCTAATGGTCTATGGACACCAAAACCTGCATGCCTCCGTGAGTAAACACTGACATGACGGTTTGATGACCCCATTCAGCCCAGCATATGATTTACTCTGACTGTCTCGTAGGAATGTGTCAGCGTGGACGTGTTGAAGTAAGTGAGAGTGAACTGAACGGGACCTGCAACTCCACCTGCGCCTATAAGAGTTACTTCGGCCCGCCCAAACATGGCTGCACCCACATAGACAACTGCAAGAAGAAGGAGACCGGCTGGAAGCGCTTCTTTGCACAGTGTGTCCCTTGCATTTGTGACTGCGCTTTATCATGTGGTGAGTAGTTTCCTCACTATACTCATGAAATGTACGTACTCGTTGAACTCGAGTAATGTGGGCATGTTGCAATGTTATCTCAGTGCAAATACACTTGAATGTGGTTGATTATTGAACTGCAAACATTAATTTGCTGTCTGTCATTGAGGAATCATGCAAACTACACCCATGTCTCTCCATTTTAGCATCTGCAGGCTAGAGCATGGAGAAAGCCCAGAGTTGACTGTACGGTGAGACATCAGATGAAGAAGAAATGCGCGCACACACACACACACACACAC